AAAAAAAGAAGAAAGGTAGAACGGGATAGAGGGCATCGGCTCGTAAATAAAAATGAATCGACGTTGCGGGAGGGGGGGTCGATAGATCAAAAGGTAGCTGCGGGCCAAGCAATGGCGGACGAGAAAATAAAAGAGAATTATTGAGGAGCGAAATAAATCAAGGATTGTGTGTGTGTGTATGTGTACTCGCGATGCTGCCTGTGTTTCTGCGACGAGCAGAAGCCTGGGTGATGATGTCAGAGAGAAGGGATCGCACTCCACGCTTCGAAATGAACGCGATAAGAGAAACACGTGTTGAGCACGCTCTCTCACCCTCCTCTTCTGCCCTCATCTTCCGCTGTCTCGATATACAACCCTCCTCTCTCCCATCTCCCTCGTATCGTCTCTTCGACCACTCTTCCGTTTTTCTCTCCCCCCCCCCCCTCCTCCACCCCTGCCTCGTTCTTAGATCGAATATCCGCTTCTCTCGACTGTAGACCCTTGCCACTGTCAGTGAGTGGATCAAAGTATACAGAGTATGAAATATCTTGGCTTTTGTTTCATTGATATCTCGGATAATAACGCCACAGTTGTTCCCCCACGTTGATGAGATTTTTTTCAATGAAAAAAGTATATACGAGTATCGAATATTACGATCATCCGCGGATCGGTTTAAGCGCTCGTTTCTAATATTTTTCCTTTTCATTTTTCCAATCTTATCCCGTTTGGAATTCACGAATAAGATTTCGCGTTGGAAAATCGCGACAGTTTTAATTTATTTAAATCCATTCTCTCGCGTTCGAATCTTCCTTGTCTGTTTATGCTTCGATTATTTAACTGGGAGTAGCAGCGCCGTTACTATTTCCGATATTCGCAATTCGTTCTATATATTATTTCCTTATTTACCTCTTATTCTCTTTCTTCGCGAAAATTTAAGAACCATTGTAAACCGTTGGAAAACTCTTTCTCCATCGAAATGATATTGTTCGGAATCAAACGAGGCAGATTTAAAAATACGCGCTTTCCAATCCGATAATTAGAAAAGTAGGAAGGAGCGAAAAACGCGTTGTAAAATCGACGCGTTCATTTCCCCCATTTAACGTCAAAACGAGACGATTTAAAAAAAGGAGTGGAAAAATGGAGGAAATAAAGGAAGAAAAAGTCCTCGAAGAAAGAAAATTCTAGCGATGTTACCAGTTGGTAGATACTGGAGAGAAAGAAAAAAGTATGGTATTAACGAGTTACATTCGGATGAAACTCGCGTCGAGTATCCTCTCCTCTCGTCCTTATTACGTCCCTCGTCAAAAGGAATGGCGAGCACACCGTGTTTCAAAATGAATGTGATAAGGGGAACACGTGTTGAACATGATTTCTCACCCTCCCTTTCGTTCGCTCATCTTTCGCGCTTTCTTTTCGTCTCCATTCTCCTCGCTCCCTTTTTCACTCCCCTGTGCTCTCCATATATATATATATATAAAGTCCTAGACCGCCTTCTCAATCCCGTCTTTTCACCCTTCTTTCGATATCTCCACGCTTCATCCTTCATCCTCGAGAATCTTTGAATCTTTCTCGTCGAGACGGAAAAAGAGTTGGTTACTTACATTTATTTACATTTTCACGCAGATGAGACTAGTATCGAGAATAGTAATCGCGCAAATGTGTTTTTCGGATGTATAAATTTAATCGCAGTTAGTTCGTAGCGAAATGATTCAGCGGTTGGATTTAACAAATTATGACAGCAAATAAACTGAACGTGGTATTGATATTATGTGGTTCGTTAATATATATTATGTTTCAGGTATACAGTCGGCTACAAGAGTTTGTTTACATCTCATACGACGTAATTTAATCCGATTATAACGATTAATCTAATCCGATTATAACGAATGTTTACACGCGTATATAAGTTATATTTTTCGACAGAAAATCTCCTTCAAGGATACGATACGATCAATTTGATATCTCGAATTTTATTGCGTACAATTTCCGTTCGGGAATATTTTACACAGCATGGTAAAAATAATTTACACCAAAATAATTTAATCGTTTCGATTATTAGACTCTACGCACAAAATTTCTCGTCATCTAGAATCGTCGTTGCTCTCAACACGATTTAATTAATCGAACTTGCAAAACAAGATTTTTGTGACCGACTGTACGTTGCACGTTTCGTGGATAACGCTAACGAGCTAATAATAATTTTCACAAATTTATCGCGACAATTATTACAATGCGCGGAGACGAACAAACTCGAACAGAGAACAAGTTTTCTTCCCGACTAATTTTTAAAATTCGTTTCCAAACTTCGAATCTGTTCTCCGTCCTCCCTTCGTGTCAGATTTTGATTAAAAGAGCGACGCGATCCGAATGCTTAATGTCGGAACAGTAACGGTATCCGCGAACAGTGAAGAAAAAAAAAAAAGAAAGAAAAAACGGAAAACGATAGGAATAGACACGGAAATGAGAATTCAGGAAAACAGGAAGGCGTTTGAGGCGTTTGGGAGGAGGTCACGGACCTTCGGATCGTTGGCAAACTTTGCCTGCGCCTCGTCAAATACGTTCCGAGTCTGCGGCGTCTAACTTGACTAATTGGCTTCCCGCTGGAACTGAATAATAATTGAATAATGGAATATTGAGAGTGCGCGCGCGAGAGACAAAGAGAGAGACAGAGAGAGAGAGAGAGAGAGAGAGAGAGAGAGAGAGAGAACAACGCGAGCTACGAAATTCACGCACGCTCAACCCGAGTCGTAAAACAGTTTTGCGCGATGCATATATAGGTGTTTGACCCTTCCAATATCTTTTTCTTTTTCTTTTTTCTTTTTTCTTTTTCTTCTTCTCTTTTCGTCTTTCACTCTTCAACGATTCACTTCGTCAGAATTACCCGCATAAAAATAGCAATCAAACGGTTTTTACACGATAGATTCTTCGACGATCGACCGAAAGTTAAGCGAGAATATAATGGTATCACGAGGGCGTAACGAGAATCTGATTTTCCGCGATGAAAACGGTAAAATCCGTGCCGGTTTTTTTTGCGGTTAAGCGCGAATGAATCGTGTAATGCTCGATTCGACGAGCCACCATTAACACCACCGTGTAATCCTGAATCGGCAATCAGGGATTGAAAATCTTGGGTCCGGCCGATGATTCGACGTTTGACGGGTTGGAAAAGTTTTTATCGTGAAAACTCGTGAAGAAGAGAGGGAAAGAGAGGAGGGGGAAGAGGAAGGGGAGGAGAAAAAAAAAAAAAAAAGAGAAGAAGGATAAAATCGGAAGGCTATTGGAAGAAAAATGTTCTCGCTAGCATGTAAGTAAGTTTCAGAAAAGTTTCCTTAACTGAATTTTAAGTCGGCTACGCGGATCGTTTTATTAATATTTTTCTTCCCGAGATACACTTTAAAAGTCAAATGGCCGGTGTGCATCTTCCTCCGTTTTATAATGGTGCACACTGCACCAAAGAAACCGACTTCTCGTTAAGTATTTTATCCACTTGTAGTTTTCGTGTATAAATATATACTTGCTAAACGTATATTCGCAATTCTATCTCTTTCTTTGGAAGAAATTTACATCTTTGTAAATAAAGCGATTGATACCCGATTAAAAAATACTTTTCCTTGATACTAGAATCATTTTATATATATAAGATTATATTTAAAATTATACATAGTTACACAATGCTCGTAATACTTTTTCGATTATCTTCATCTTATTGAACTTGAAGCCAAACACATTTTTCGAGACAATTACTCTTTCACGTTCGTCGATAAAAGATTGAGTTTTCGAATCACCAGAATCTGAAAAACTTTACTTAAAAAAAAACCCTGAACAAATCTTTTCCTTCCATTCCTATTTCCACGAACCGTATATCCCATAACTTAATCCCATAAGCTCGAAACCCGCATAAAAGAATCGAAACCGAACAACTATCGTGGGGTGGGGAAGAGTCCCGGGTCACCGATAAAATTACGCAAATGTGAAATCGAAGGTCGGTTTCGGGCTTATCGTCGCGTCTTGAAAATAGGACGGGGAGGCGATTATTTTGCTCGAAACGTCAGATACACGCACCTCCCCCCAATCACCTGTCGTCGATATCGGCACGTGACTTCGAATAATTTTCCCCCCTGTCACCGGCAAAAACATTTCGCGCAACGCCGCGTCACGTTCCATCGTTTGAGATATTGCCGATCATCGTACGAAAGTCCAGGCCACCGGTTCAATCTCCCTTCCTCCCTTCTTCTTCTTCTTCTTCTTCTTCTTCTTCTACTTCTTCTTCTTTCCGCCGGTATTCTCTCTCGATATCACGACGAACGATTAAATCGGCACCACCATTTTTCTTCCACGTGAAATTACCCCCCAGCCTCTTTAACAAACGTCGAGTCATTGTTATCGCGCGGGAGGGAACGGCCGTGGTCCGTTCGTTTTTTCGCCACGAAGATCGGGGATGAAAGATCTAGGACGGAACGTCGATTCACGACACGACACGGTTTACCGACTCGACTCTCGAAGGTCGATCGTTCGAGTCCTAACGCAGCAGGATAAAACGAACGAGACGTTGGATCGAATTTAAAAAAGTACACGACGTTGGCTAGCGTAGAACGCCCGCTCCGGCCCCGCGAACTATTCCCACTTGACGCGAGACAATTTTTCGACCGAATTATTTTTCTCACTCGGGACTTTCCATTAAGTAAACGAAGGTTTAATTGACGTTCGGTATGAATGATTCATTGGGAGTGTCTTTCGGAATAGCATCGCGTCGACTATCCTCTTTTTTCTTTTTTTTTTTTATCGCTCTCTCGTCGAATCAAATTTTCAAATTACACAACGGCTTAATTGACGTACAGCGAGTGACTGATTGCAATTATTTTTAAACGAGATGAATTCGAACGAGGGAACGGAAACATAGGATAATATTTAAAAATTCCAAAAAAATTCACCGATTTTTAAATTTCACCACTTCTTTTACCACTGTAACAATCGTTATCTGCAATAATATTATCGGATATATACGGAATTCTAACGCATACCTGTATCTCCGCACAACTGGCGTGAACATTGCCCAGCTGCCAAAAGCCTCGTCCCGGCTTGCCACTCGCCTCCTCTTGCAAAGTAATCTTCTCGTTCCCGTTTCTCCAATCTGTTCTCCAATCCGTATAGTCGATCAATCACAAAAACACAGCACAATCGTCCTCGAGGGATAATATGAACGCCTCGTGTTCACCGGCGATCACCGTTCCACCGTTTCGATATACGATACGTCTCCGAAGGCGTCGCGGCGCTCACTGCGGAGACTTGGCTGCGTACCCGCCCTTATAGCATCGTGTTGCGCTCGCACCGTGCCCCCTCCCCTCGCCGCGAGCCCCCTCCTCCACCGTTTCCCTCGCCACTTCACCCTTCGCCTCGACCCTCTGCGCCGTACCGCGAGCCTCGTGCACCCCTCGCGCACCCCACCTCACCCCCTTTGCTCGCCATTCCCACCACCCACAGCACCTTACAGGATAACGCAAGCGTTCTGGAATAAGCGTTCAAAAGACCAGCGGATGCATTCTTCCCGTATGCTTCGCTACCTTGTGCGCGAAAATTGAACGGCTTGAGAAATGAACGTGTTCGAGATGCAGTGTTTCGCCGATTCGGTGTTTCCCATTTCTTTCTCTTCTCTCTCTCTCTCTTTTAACAACCGAGAAATTTCTTCTTTGCTAGAATAGAAGCGATAAGAAATGAAATTTCGTTTTCATTTTCGAATCGATGACGCGGACGGTTTCGTAGATGGAAGGATTGTTAGCGGGTAAGGATAGATTCTAATTTGCCCGAACCCGCACAGGGATGGGTTATCCCTCCCTGCAAATCACTTGGACGCGCTCCAGCGCTCGTCATACCGCGCGTGAACGTCACGCTAACTTTCTTCGATTCGCCCCAACCGAGGACCGGTTTCAATTTGAAAGGGAACTTTTAGAATCCATTGCAAACCCCGTCGAATCATTTTCGATTCGTGCTAACTTTCCCACCGAGCTGCACGAGATACCTATTTGCACACCCGCTAAACAACCTTGCATACCCAACCTCGAGTCGCGTCAACCGTTTTGTAATTCCCCGTGATTCGCGTTGCGTTACGTACTTCGTAATACGTGCCCGATTTTCGAACGAAACTCTCTCTCTGTCTCTCTCTCTCTCCCTCGACTTGCGTCTTACCACGTAAAACCGATCCGTTTAATCTTCCACACGACTCGCATTAATCGTATCGAGCCAAATCGGATATCTCATTTCTGATTCATCCACCGCTTCGTCGTCTAATGCTAATCTCTCTCTCTCTCTCTCTCTCTCTCTCTCTCTCTCTCTCTCTCTCTCTCTCAAAATTCAGAACTTTGCATCCCTACTTTTCGTGCCTGATCCTATTCGATTGCCTCGATTAGGATCGATGCAGGATGGCGATACAAGGCTCGTACTCGCGCAAATCCGCTCGAACGCGCGTTCCAATCCGCCCCGACTCGTCCCGATCCGCCTTGCTCGTAAGTCTTTACGCTTGTCACGTACCTGGATGGTATATAACATCGCGTCTCTCTGACGCAGACGTATGTCCAACTGTCGGTGGTGAGCGCCCCGCATCATTAATTTATCCATCGCCGAGACTGCTCCAGGGCAAACGGGTCGACATCCAGGCTCATCAGACACCCAACAAATCCCAAGGGATGATGGCTCGAGAAAAGAAAAAAAGAAGAAGAAGAAGAAAACATTCTTCTTCGACGAGTATCTTTTAGACCTTGAAAAGAATTTTCGTTCTCTTCTTTTTTTTTTTTCTTTTTCCCCTCTTGTTTCGAACGTTGTTCTTGCATTTTAAAGAGGATGATCGTATGTTTCATCCAGGCAATTCCTTCGATTATCGTTCCAGTGTTGGAAGGAATTTCAAAAGAGATGAGCCGATCGTCAAAAGACGTCGAGTGTTCCAGTAACCCTTCATGATCTGTTTCTTCATTATCAGGGTGGTAAGGAGGAAGTTATTTTGCCAAATGGGTAGGCTTTGCATGCACGATAAAGATCATGTATCGTGTCTTTAATTTTGGTCCCTTTCTTTTTTTTGTGGAGATGAGGTTTTTTTTTTTTTTTTTCTTTTATTCGATTCGATTCGTTTCGACTTCCAACCTAGGACGGAAATTTTATTCGACGTCAACGGTGACACAAACGCTCGTAAAATTCACGAGATTTTTATTCCTATTATATGTTTCATTTTACACGTTTTTGTAATTGGTTGTAATTTAACATTTACTTGATAATCAATATACAAATATATCATTTTCAACATACAAATTGCGTTTTAATTAAAAATTACGAACGTTATTGCGTCGAAAAATTTTCAAAAAAAAAAAAAAAAAAGAACACGATACTATTCGTTTGTCGAATTAAAAAAAAATTCCATCTCTCTACCTGCAGCATTAATAAAAAAAAAAAAATCGTGCAATAATTCATTGTTAATTTCAACGTGTTATCGATTGCCAACGACACTTGGAATTTCGTCATTGGCCAAAAAAATTATGAAACGTCGAAAAAGAAACATGTTTACCGACCCCTTCGTGCGTCGAGTAGCATCATCTCCGACAATTCTTCAAAGGAACGGGGACGGAATTAAACGGCGGAGATCTCGTAACAAAGATTTCGTTTATTTCGATAACGAATGACGCTCGCACGGCACGCGAACGTTGGACGAATTTTACAAAATCGTCTGCTCCTCGTATACAACTGGCACCAAGTTGCACCCGTTAAATCCTCGGCATCTGTTTCTTCGCTGTGATACGCAACGATTCCGGTGAAATATTTACCCTGTAAATGCAACTGCACTCCGCGCCATGGATAAATTTATTACGGCTAATATTCCCTCGATGCGCTCGAGGTCCCCCTGCTATAAAGCATCGTCAGATAAAAAAAAAAAAAAAAAAAAAAGAAAAAAGAAAAAAAATATAATGAGTTATTGTCTCGATGCACGCATAATATCAAAGCGTTTCGCGCTTTCGAGGCGCGCGAAATTGTTCGTAAAAGTGGAGGGAGGGGGTGTATGTGACAAGGGTTTTACGCTCGTGATCATATGTAAAAAATCGTTTCGACTAAATATATCTTATATATATGTATATAACGCGAGCTAACGACAGAGTAAAGTGCCTCCCCTCCCTCCTCCCCTCGATGCGTGACAATCTCATTGTTTCGACGGTTCGTATAAAGGATCGGCGATCTTCGTGGATGGACGGGGATGATCGAGCGTTCGTTCGACGAGCCGCGTGAGAAATCTATGTAAAACGCTGGTATCAAAGTGATTAACAATTCTTATCGGCTAAAACGTGCATAAAAATGACCGAATGGGTGAATATTTCAACGGCTTACAATAGCAACAATTCATCAACAAACATCACCACTACCACCACCACCACCACCACCACTCACGCGTATACGAGGGAAAAGAACGAGTGATATATCGTGTAGATATATACGATGTAGACTGCGAAAGTTTATGCATTTGTTAAAAAAGTTGTGAAAAATGTACAAAATATCGAAAATACATATTTTTTAAGCGAAGCATATTTCCCTTTCATTTCCATATCTGGAATTTAATAATTGCATAAATATCCGCAATCTAGCGATTGAGTTTTTCATCGAGATTGTTAATCGCCTCGTGCAAAAATCTTCTTTTCTTTTTTTTTTCTTTTTTTTTTTTTTTTTTGTTCAAGGAAATTCGATCGAATATCGAACAATTGACGTTCGTGATACGATCCAGTAGGAATTATATCTGCAACTTTTCGCAGAGAAAGAGAAACGGAGAATTATTTGTAAAATTTTATGATGCACGCAGAGCTTATTCTGGATTTACGTGCCAGAAATATATGATCTCCTCTATCGATATATCATGTTAGTAGATTTATTCAATTTTAATTCAACCTACACGAACTTATTTATGTTAGTACGTTTTACGACAATTCCTTCCATTTAACAGGAGTAAATAAATTAAGAGAAAACGTTCAAAGTCTGTACACACGCTATACTGTACATTTACCAGAATTAACCCTGGAATTACCAGTATTAAATTTAATAAAAGTTTTACAAATTACCCTATATACATATGAATAAACGTGAAATTTGTATCTTGAAATAGGAAATTTCGATTTTTTCTAAAAAAAAAATCTATACGATATATAATTCCTACTGGAAGAAGAAATAAACCGAAATACGGATAAAGCCAACGCGTAATACTTAGAAAGGAATATGCTCGCGAACACGCGACTTTCATCCATCGTTGGAATGAGAATAAGAGAAAAAAAAAAAAAAAAAAAAGAAAAAGAAAAAGAAAAAAAAGTGGAAGGATTCGCGTAAACGTCGGTTGAAAAATAGATTATACACGAGGTACACAGAGGTAAAGATGACGGAAGAGAAAAGGAGAAGAGAAAAAATTGATGGAAGAGTGGCGAGTTTGCCCGGAGAATCTCTTCTTCCAGACCTCTGCGTGAACTCGTTCGCCTCGAGTTCGATTCCTCCACCTACACCACGGAGTAATCCTCGATCAAGTTCTCGCCGAAGTGAGTTATCACGTAATCGTGGTAATACATCATTATGCAAAGTGGTTGTCCGATAATGAGACTCGCCCACACCGTGATATTGCCCCATCTGGCGCCCCAGTGCTTCTCCACCTTCTTACTTATCATTGATAATGGTATCTGGAAAATCGATTAAAAAAGTTTCTCGATCGGGGTAGGTGCGAATTAATATTAATCATTCGACAGTTGGATCGGTTGCGAAAGGATCATTGTTCGGCAAAACTTTTCCCCGCAATTTTTTTCCCCGCGGAAAAAACGTTTCACGAGGGATGATTAAAAATTTCCTCTCGAATCTTTTTCACATCCGATCCGAAATAAAGATATCGAGCGTTGATTGAATGCGAATGCAATGTTCAAAGATATTACATTTTTCGAATCTGTACAATCAGCATCGAAACCAATTTTATATATATATATAGTCAGCTATCCGAAAAATTAAAGGAGGTATGATAGACATTAGTTCGTGAATATTACGCAATATTACATCTTACCTGTCCCATCATTCCGAGGAACGCCCACGTTTTGAACGTCTTGAGCGGCACGCTGACGAGGTACTCGTGGAAAAAGGCGCTGATGAAGAACACGGTGACAGACGCGGTATTCTTCTTGTAGCCCATCTCTATGATGGGAATGTACAAGTGGCTGGAACCGAATCGGAGCAAAAACGGTTTTCACGGTTGGCACGATTAACCGGGGAGGGAGGGAGGAAATTACGCGTCCGCTTAATAGAAAGGATCGAGAGCTTTCTCTGCCTCGTTTCCCTCCGACCATTCTCTTCCTCGCGATGAATTTTACGTCGTGGGAAGGGGGGAGGGGGGAAGGGGGGAAGGGGGAAGCGAACGAGCCCTTCTCGGCCATGCAGTCGGTCCTACTGTTATTACAACTTACGTTGTACCGCGGAATGGCTCGCGTTAAAAAAAAGAAAAAAAAAAAAAAAGAAAAGGGAAGGCATAGGGGGTAAAGAGCGGAAAGGATGGAGGCAAGAGATAAGAAGCGTCGCGTTTAAAGATCAGCGTGAGCGGAATGGCCTCGAAAAATTAAAGCAATGGCCGTGCAAGTTTGTCGGAATGGCGACACTGGTGTGTGCCAGGGTTCAAGCGAGGGAAGGAATGATACAGGGGTACAGGAGAGACAGGAAGAGATCGTTAGCTAGGTTGGTTATCAATGGCGGCGCATTGGAATGAAGAAAGCTGAGGGGATCAATTCCTCTTCACACGATCATCTATCAATTCCTTTTCACACGGAAATTTATCAATTTCTTTTCACACGCTCATTTATCAATTCCTCTTCACACGCTCAATAATTTTTAAAGCTATAAAATTTTTTTTTTTCACTTCGTTCGATCGATTTATCGCGATTTATACAAAGGAAAGCGACGAGAAAGGGTGGGGAAAAAAAAATGGCGCAAAGAAGGAAACGAGAGATGGGGAATGAGAGGGGAGGGGAGGGAAGGGGAACGGAAGGAAAGAAGGAAGGAAGGATGGAAATTCAAAGGTGAGAGACGTTGTCGTCGTGGACGGTTTCGTTCCCGTGAAAAAGAGATTCCTTTCCTTAAAGATTCCGCTCCCCTCTCGTTACATCATCTCGCGACCTCTCGCGTCTCTGTTTCGTTTTCTACCTTCCTCCCCCCTCCCTCTCCCCCTTCAATTTCTTCCATTCTATCTCTCCCACTCGTGCACACCACGCAGCTTTCCTTCACCAACGATTCTCGTCGTTTCGTGGAAAAGACGCTTCGAAATATCTTCCAGTTATAGAGGCATTATAAGTGCCGCGGGGAATAAACAGCCTTAAGTGCGCGCACCACGATGCGTATCGGCTTTTCCCATTACAAACCTGAAAAGACGTCGTCTTCGACACTCGTCCTACCCCTTTCCTCCCCTCTTTTTTCCGTCTCCTCCTCTCCGTGTCCTCTCCACCCCCGCAGCTTTTCCATTTTCATCTCTCGCGCCCATTCCCTCTCCCCTCCCTCTCCCCTTCCCTCTTTTTTCCATCCCCTCATCGCCATCGCCTCCGTGGCCGCATGGCTGCGTGCCAGTTGCAGCTCGCAATTGCAGCTGCATATCTCAGACGAGGAGGAAAAAAAAAAAAGAGAAAAAAAAAAGGAAATGAAAGAAAAGAAAGGAAAACAGAAGAAAAGAGAGGAAACGTAGGAGAGAGGAGTTGGGAGCGCAGGTGCGATCGAAAGAATGGAAAGGGGATGGGAGGAGGAGATCGGAAGACGAGGAGGAGGAGGAGGAGGAGGAGGAGGAGATGAAATTCGAATCCGACAGTTTCCGGCCAGTAAAGCCGATTACCGTTTTTGCCAGGTTAATTACACGGAATCGAGTTAATTGCAAGTTGACGAGACGCCCCCGCGAAAAGGGGGAGACGTTGGAGAATCTAAAAACGTCAACTCGATCGTTTATCTCGCCGTTCGACGTTCCTCTGAAATCCGATAGATACGCGGATTCAACCTCCCCTCCGGGGAGTTATATGGCTTTACCGGTAAAGAATTATTGTTTTTCCGTGTATCGTTTCTCGAGAGAGAGGAGGGGATCCCCTCGATCCTCCCGGATTTCCAACCCTTCCGCGTACACGACACCCCCCTCTACCCCCTCCTCCCTCCCGCCCGCCCGTAGCCCCCGCAATAACAACTTTTCCACGGCTACCTTTTTCGAGGATTTAAACTTTCCGCGAAGCTACTTTCGAAGTAAAAGCGGCCGTCGTCACCGCGGTGGCGCGAGTTGTTAGCGGCACGTGCACCGTGGAAAACCGTTGGAAAAGTGGTGGGAAGGCTCTACATATACATATACATATACATATGTATATATATATATATATACGTATGAAAAGTTTCCCGTAACTTTGCTGATTGTATCGGGCGAGCGATGCATAATCCAATGGAAACGATGACGGGGAAGACGTATGGGGATAAAAACCGTAAAGCAGGGCGTAAGCTTTCCCGCTTATCCGATCGCGCTATCCTCTCCCAAGATTCTCCAACAACTTTCCCTTAAATCGTAAATACCAAGTTTGACGTTAACGATAAGCGATATGAAGAGGAGGAAGACGAGAGAGAGAGAGAGAGAGAGAGAAAATTCTACATCAATTTCTTGAACGAGCGAATCATAACGATTTTCTTCGTTCTTCGATTCAAACTCAAATTCGAATATCATCGTAACGAACGAGAAAGAACGTAAGAGGAGGCGAATACCGAATTCGAAAAGGTAAATGGAATTCGGAAAGGTTCGAAATGGGAATTAATTAAAAGGCGACGTCAATGTCGCGCCGCCACGTAGGTAAACACATTCGCGAATTAATTTTCCGAAATAAACGTTGAAACGGGAAGATCCAGCCGTCTGCGCGAGTCGGGTAGTTCCATTTCGTGGCAGAATAGTTTTCAAACACCTAACTCCCCCCTCCCGACACCCTTTCTAGTTACACGGACATTAAAAGTACTACTTAGAGTGGCAGCAGTTATATGTATAGGAGGCGGGGGAGGAATGGGGAGGAATGGGGGGAGAAAGGTAAAAGCTAAAACAATTAGCCGCGCAGCAGTTTCCACGAGGGGGTTGAAAGAGGCGAGAAATAGAGAGAAAGAGAGGGAGAGAGGGATGAGTGGTAGGAGCGCGGGAGAAAGTCTCTGATTCACGGAAATTTCTCTTCCTTTTCGGAGGGCAGACAGGACCCGGGTTCTCGCGAAAAATGTAATTAAATCTCCTTGAGAGCGGGGCACACTCGTTAACAAAGTTCAGCCGCTTACGCGAAAAGGAGTACTCGATCAAAAGTACGACTCCGTGGCTGGATACCGGCACTTCTTTCCCATTACTTTCCCCTTACTTTTCCCTCCTTTCCCCGCCCGATCCTCGTCTTTACGCATCCCGTGACCGCTCGTTCCCGCCTAATGGACCGAACGGGGATACGAGGAAAAGGCGAGTTTCGCGATTCGTGTTGGCGGATTCGTTTGGATAAAATGTTTCCGAAATTGAATGTTAACGAGACTCGGGTGGATCGAGATTTGATGGGATGATCGTAAGAACGGGAGCGGGGAAGAAATTTTCGTACAAGTTTTGGCTTGAAATTAGATTGAAAGCGTTTTTCGCGATTCGCTTCGTCTCTCTTCCCCTTATAATAATTTATCATCCCATAATAAAAATTCCTCCGACATTGATTATTTGTAACGAATGTCTTGTTAATATCTAACATTAAGTTGATAGTAGAGAATAAATCGATTTTTTCCCAAATGATTATTTACCAATAATAATAATAATAATAATCGACCATTATATCGATCGCAATTGCAAAATTGTAAAGGTACTCGACCGACATGGCACAGGAGAGATGGAAAACGAAAACAGGATAATCCAGAGAATAGGCCATCGGCGAAGCGCAAACGGTGGCTCGATTCGAAATCGTTGCAATCTACGATCTATCCCCCCTTACGCCTCTATTTTTCGAGCCAGGGTATGCGCATGATCGTTTATTCGGGCCGAATTGTAGCAACCGGATCGAAATCCAGGGTATTGTGGTAAAGGGTACAACATCGTATCAACGACACTTACCGCACAGCCCATCGATGCACGGGCATATTCCACGTCCTCCAGAAGATGTCGATGTTGTGCGCGTTCCACCAATCGCAATAGAAATTTCGATCGGCGAAATGCAACAGTTCACCGACCAGATTCAGAAGCGAGTGGAACATCAAGTAGAAGAAACATAGCCAGACCAGATGATTCGGTATCTGCGGGGGAAAATACGTCGAAATTATATTTTTGAAGCGGCAAAAAGAAAAACGAATATAAAAATTCTTTCGCTTCGTTTAACGCAAATTTAAATTTCTTCACAGATAGATGTAAGTTGATCGAAACTTTTTTCTTTTTTTTTTACACATTCTTTGTTCTCATTCGTTCTCATTCTCGTAAAAGAATCGATCGCTCGAAAACGTCCCGCGATATTATATCATAAAACCCGTGATATATAAAAAACGTGTACGTGGAAAAAAAATAGTATCGGGGATTACAATGAGAATCATACGTCAGAGGGCGAACATTCATTTGGGAGGGGAACGATACCCCGGCAAATGGAAGTCACTTTCATCTTTTCTATTACCGCGGGTGAAATGTTTTTCACGCGATGTATCGTTTCAAGCGCGTTGATCTTTGTTAGATCGCGACTGTACAACACGCGAGGGCCGTATAGCCGACGGCCACGCCGATATTTTATTTCCTTTTGTTTCGTATCTCTCCCGGCCCCGGGAACGGCTCGTTAATCCGACTCGAATTCACGTCTCTCGATATTCCATTCCTCTACCCTTCCGGCGCTCCGTGCAATTTCACGTAATTCTTAACCAGTGTTCGCCGCCAACTCCGCGCGGAAATGAGTGGGGGAGGGAAAAAGGAACGGCGGAGGAAAGGAAATACGATACAGTTGTCGAGGCGTAACGCGTCTGCCAAGAGGGAACGGTGCATCGGTGCTTGTTCCGCGTTTTCGAATATTTAAAATGACCCCCTAATGGCGAGACAAAGGAACAAGGGGGAAGATGAAGAGAAAGAGAGAGAGAGAGAGAGAAGGAATTAAACCCAGCCGAGATAATTCCACGCTCGAGTCCACGCGCGACTCGTTATTTACCCCATCCCTCTCCGTTTACCAGGGGTTGTCGAAAAATGGCGAGGAAATGGTATCGCCGGTCGGGAGAACACGATCGTTGGAGAAAAAAAAAAAAGAAGAAGAAAAAAAAGAAAGAGAAAAACGTAGAGGGGACGTAAAAGGCAATCGCGCGGAGGCGAATGAAATCGGACAGATTTCTCGCAGCGTAACCGTCTTCCCCTTTCCCGGCCATATCTCCCGGGCTCGGTCCAACGAAAAATTTTGAAGTTATTTCGTTTCGAATGTCTTCTCTAATTCCCCCTGGAGCATCCTCCGGCCGCATCTGGCGGCCTTTTACGCGCTCCAAAGGACTTAATAATGTTGCCAAGCACAAAGGTCAAGTCTCCTCCGCCGGAAGGCATTCGTGGCACTTTTATGAAAAGAGAAGGGTGGTGGCGCGCTTTTCTTCACAGAAAATGGGGTCCTCTGTCTCTCCCCGTTTCATCAACCCCTTTTCGTCGTCGCCCCTCCTTGCTCCTTACAACCACCAGAGAAGACCACGTGCCCCGCAAAAACTTACCTCGACGACGTTTTAATTTCGTTTACCGCGGTATGCCGCTCGTTCCACGGGGCAGGAAAGGGATAGCGCGGGATCACCTCTTCCTTCTGGGAAGGGTAAAAGGATAAAACCTTGTCGAAGACCAGTTCGAGACACGTCGATGATACCACAAAGGGGAAAGAGATGAACTTTGAGCCCCTTCCTTGCTTCCTGGCCAGGGGCTACCTCGAAACTCCCTCTCCCTCGCCGGCCCCGAACTTTCTATCAAGGGGGAAAAAATCTTGATGTGTGACGTGGCTGAGCGAGATCCGGCGGGAATTTGAATTTTCTCGGTTCGTTTGACCGCCTCCAAGGCGGTGGCAACCAAGTTTTCCCATTATGCATGACTCCTTTCAACGAACCGCTACTTGTTACGTTACTTTGTTTAACATCCTCCCTCTTTTTTCTCCCTTTCTTTCTTTTTTCTCCCCCTCCCCTCCCGTCACAGAATTACACGGTACTTGGCCCAAGTTTCTCGACACTATTCGAGCATATCCCTTTAACCCCTCCCCCGTCCTTTTCAACGGAGATGAAACCTCCGTTGAAAAGGAGCGTAAATTTTATCCTTGGCGCGAATACTTACACCGTATAAAACAGGCGGTTAATGCGAAAGATCGAATCGTTATTACGGGGGAGGGGGAAGATGGATGTGTTCAAACACACGTCTATTCCTCTATCCAAACGAAATGGACGTGCTTACGTTTCGTATCAAATGTTAGCGTATCGAAGAGATTGTACCGTTATTAAAGCAATATTTTTTCAAGGGATCGTGGCCCGTGGCTCAAAGAGCGTGGAATGAGAGAGAGAGAGAGAGAGAGAGAGAGATCGATACGCCTGATGGGAAATCGTATCGCGCTCGGTGGAGAGGAAATAATGACAAGGTTAAAGGATCGGGCAATTTCGACGTCATCTCGACGAGACGTCTATAAAGTTTACTCAATTTTTCTCCCGTTCCTGATTGTTATTCTTACATCCCGTTCTTCATACGATAACAGCTACTCCCGTTAGATTACACAGCCGCGGCAGACCCTGTCTGCTGCTGCTGCAGTAAATAGTACGTGACGTGCTCCCATGAGGGTAACGTTGTAACGTTGGATAAAAAAAAAAAAAAAAAAAAAAGAAAGAAAAAAAGGATAATCGAGAGAACGGAAAGAACGGAAAAAGAATAGCATAGCGTAGCATAGATTCGAAGGAAAATGGAAAATATCGATTGGCTGCTTAAAAATTTACTACGAGATTGGCAAAGAGAGTCGCCAACAACAAGCAACAAAAATTAAAAACTTGGCAAAGATTGCGGTCTCGTGTAAAAAGATTGCGCAACAAGATGAGAATCGAAACAACATTCTCACAGCGAGAGGGGATAAAGAGAAGCAGCTTCTCGCTCGAAGCTGAGCAATTAGCGATTTATTACGAGTAAACGCGGTTTAAGGAACGATCCCTCGACGTTCTACGCGATAACGCGATGATACAGGCGGTACCACATTACGCCGTGTCTACATCTACGATCATCCGCAGGTAAGTACACATCGGGAATTCACGTCTCTTCTCGTCGTATTCCCGAATCCAATATACCTGCATTATCGATGGAAATCGATCGTTCGATCGATCGATCGTTCGTATATATGCATAAGGCACACATTGCAGTGTAAGGAGCGTAACGGGAGTAGCTGGAACGCAGGGGTAGCGAGACACCCCCCGTAACACAAGCTCGTCTTCGGATAAAAGAGCAAAAGGATCGTCGACGTCCGCCGCCTCTCCCTCTCCCTCTCCCTTCGTCTTTTTCGTGAAAGAGAGAGAGAGAGGGGGGCGGCTGCCGCGCGTCAAAGAGATTCCGAAACGAGTGGACGAAGGGCCGTGGCTCGTATAAAGCAGATCGATCTAAGGAAACGACCTCGTTGGCAGCGGACTGCAGGAAAATTGCGTTTCCCCATTACGACGAGATTAAAGTCTCGTCCTACATTGCACTTGCAACCCCTCCTCTTCTTCGCTTTCCCTTTCTCTCCCTCTCTCCCTCTTTATCTCTACTATTCATCCGCCTTGGTCTCGAATCCACCGGCATCCTCTGTCTTCGAAGTTCAGCCGAGATTCGTATAAGAACCGCAATTAACCGGCGACGGTCACGGTCCGTGGTCGCTGAGACCGGCCTCGCAGTTATTTGCGGTGTAAACGAAAATAAGGATTGGCCTGTATGAAGCCTCGTCGTGTACCCCAAGGGCTTGTTGCTTTCTCTCTCCACCCCGCTCTCTTCAGGGTGTTTTCTTCCCTCCCCTTCCCTGGAATCTTCTCTCGCAGATTTAGCCGCTCGCTCGATCGGCAAACAATTATTTTTCCCCGCTTCAAACTTCTTTCCTTCCTCCCTCTTCTCCCTTCTCCCTTATCCTTTTTCCAGCCCTCAACGCGGAGAGAGGGCTGGAGAAACAAGAGGGGACAAAAGAGGACGAGTCTCGAGGACGAGCACGCCTCCTCGTGGCGTGACTTATGAGATTGGAGTTTTCGTTGCGCTCGCCTCGAGCTACCGGTCCGGAACCACTTATAGGTTAAAGCTCGCGTCGATATCGTCCATGTCAGCGGAGACGATTATTACCAATCGATCCGATCCCCCGTTCTTCGACATCCTCCCTTCCTCTATCTTCCAGAATTATTTCAACTTCGCAAGCCCGGGCTTGTTATTTTCCCTCAAGAGGGATCAAATGATGATTTCGAGAGATTTAGAGGTTGGAGAGGATAGGGGTCGGTTGATAATTTCCACGAGAGGGTAAAATGATCGGTCGGACTGTTGTTTGCACGCGTCGGGAGGGGGGGAGGGAGGGGGCCGCAGACGTGGATAATTAATGACGCGATGGGTCCAATTAACTGGCGGCCGGCAAAAATTTGTTGGCGAAGCTCCGATCACGCGTGGCTTTTTGGCCGGCGCGGTGTTTTAATCGCAAATAACTAACAACGCGACTCGAACAGCGAAAGGGAGCGCCGCTATTATACACGGTTCAGAAGGGCCGCTCGCGGTAGTCGCTTTGGGACCAAGTCATGTAATTGAATTCGGTTCACCGAGTCCGGCTCACTGATCGAAACACTACGGCTGGCTAGCTCCGATCTGAAGCATTCGGACTAACGAGAGAATAACGAGCGCAAGTAACGATGGTCGAATGGAATCGAGCCGTCGGCCTCGATCGACGTCGTTGCTTCCAATACAATTGCCAAGATGCGAATAAATGTAAGGGGTGATTCTTGTAAAAAGTGTGCCCTCTCTGTTCACACGATTACGTCGTCTCGTCGAAATGACAAATAATGCCATTTGTCTGGCTTGTCCGGAAAAGCGCCCGAACGAAGTCCATTTTTTATCGAGAATCAAAGTGCATACTTTCAACCATAGACGAATAAGATTTTTGTACGATTTCTAGTGTAAATTGCCACGGTTTTAATTTTTAATTTTGTAAGGGTTGAAAGTGTATAAGTATATATATATATATATATTTATGGTAAAAATAATCGTTGGACGAAGAGGGATATTCGATTGAAAAAGAGATCGACCCAACAACAAATCTATAAATATATCCGACGAATCCAGCGATTGCTCCACCAATCTTGAGCTGGCAACATTAATCATTCCGTAAGAATCACCCTATATACATCTCGCGATTTCATTCGTGAATGCTTCTCTCTCTCCATCACTCCACTATATATATATATATATATATATACTCCTCCAAGGAATATATTTTTCTATATTCACCACGTGCCAATTGATCTTTCATTTATCGGGTCATTCGTTCGCCATCCCATCCGCCTATACTCGAACTATAAACGAGGACGTTCGTGCAAAGGGTTAAAACGTTTGCAAAGTGCACGATCCACTATTCGACGCGGCACACCGCTAACTAAGCTTTCCAATCGCCGGACGTATTATCGTATTCGCACATTCGCATTCGGTTATCCGTCACAGAGCGTAGCACGAGTCATAAATTTAAATTTACTCCCTTCCGTGACGAGTTAAAAATCCTTCGTCCATTATCGACGACAGGGGTTGCTTATTTGCATGACACTTGTTCCCGCGGTCCGCGCGGCTTTCACGTTTAATACGGGAAAATGTTGCGGACAGGGTCAACTCGAAAACTCATTTTTCTGATTACCCTTCCATTAATGCCACCTCTCGATCACCCTCCACCATCCTCCCCTCATACGCGAACAACAACAACAACAACAGCGCGATATCACATTATACAAGAATTAATCTAATGGTTTTTATCGTTGCTGATGGACGTTGCTCCTTTGATACGCCAGCCCCCGCTTCGTATTTTACGCATCGTGTGACCCGCGTCGACACGAGACCGCGAGGACCGTACCGCTGTTATCGTTGTAAACCCAAAGTGAAAATTTTAATTAACGCATTGAAAGCGCGGACAAGAGAGGGACGGGAGAAAGAGGAGAAGAGAGAGAGAGAGAGAGAGAGAGAGAGAGTATCGGATCGTGGCTTTAATGGTATCCGCAAATGTTACGTGTCAAATTATGAAGCTGTGTTTTCCGAGTTTACCATGCCGTGTTACGGTTGTAACACGGTTATTCCCTCTCCGCTTCGAAATTCGATAAAATCCATACGAGCGATCCGTAGAGGGGTAAAGCTCCCGGGTCTTTTGCGAATGAACGATGCCCAGGAGATGCCTTTGTTCCATTTTCGCGAAACGTGTTTCACATTTTAGCGTCACTCCGCGACCGCCGACGTCGACAACGACGTCGAAACCAATCGTCGACGATCCTCCCCCTCGATTAGCGGGGAGGAGGGGGCGGGATTAAAATTCGCGGCTCGTATGGAATTACGAGCGCGTTGGAAAAAAACGCGAGAGAAAACGTTTGAGGCTGCGAGAATTTGGAATTTTTTGGTGTCTCGAACGTCGTTTGAACGTCGAAACGAGCCTGCCTACCAATTGGCCAGGAAATACGAGGTTCGTAAGAGAATTATACGCGTACGTGACGCGTCTAAGCTTCCATCGCCTTCCGCTTCCGGTATCGACGAGACAACATCCCCCGCAGCCGAGTTACGACGCCTCAGGCGTCACGACAGAGAGAGGAAAGAATATCTTATTACGAAGAGGGGAACATCCTCCTCTCTCTCTCTCTCTCTCTCTCTCTCTCTCTCTCTCTCTCTCTCTCTCTCGATTATCGATAGCACGGAGCGCGCGCGCGAGTTACAGGAAAACTCCGTTACCCAGTTCGTTCTACGACTTCCGCGAGCGCATAATTCACGCGGAGAGGAGGCGCGCACGGCCGGTTGTACACAGGACGAAAGTTGAATCATGAATTCGTACGTTTCGCGGAAAGTTTGGGATGGGATGGGATGGGATGCATTGAAACGTTCCTGAGCACCGCCGAAACTAAAGCGTTCTCCCTGTGTCTATCCGCTTGATAGGGAGAGGAGGGAGAGGGATGATTTGCAAGAGGGATGGCGTATTAAGCGACACACTTATGGGAAGGAAGATCGAACGCCTCGTGCGAGCGAGGGAAAGGGAAGGGAAGGGAAGGGAAGGGAAGGAGGGAAAGGCTGAATTCGCAAATATTGGCCCGGGGCTTAAGAGCTCTTCTGATGACGAACGATTCTGGGTAGGATCCCTTGGCTGGGAGGAGAACACAGGTGCGATGATGTTTCGCTCGCGCCCGTGTCGAGGGAGAATACGAGACTGGAAGGAACAGGAAGAAACGGGATCGTTTGAGGATAGGTTCGATCATTTCCACAATTTGCGGAACGGGAGAAATGGTTGGGAAAACGAGATAGATAGATAGATATTTGTGGATAAAGTGATAAAAACAATTGATTGATTACGTAATATAGGTAGATTTAATGCCGGCTCGATGAGCCAGCATTGGTTAAGCACTTCCGGTCGGCGGGGCACGCCTGTACCTTGTTTTCGAGGGAATCGAATTATACTCACGGCCAGTTTCAGCAAACGCTCGGAGGCCTTCGCCACGTCCATGTTCTGAAAAATAAAACGAGCTTCGATTATTAATACGAAGAAAGCCACGTAAGCGGTAAATACGAGGCGGAATTGGAAGTTGTAGGAGCATGGAAAAAGGAGGAGAAGGAGGAGGAGGAGGAGGATTCGGCGAAAACAAGGGTACGAAACGAAAGTTCCTAATTGGGTTCAAACCTGCGGAATATGTAGCGGGGATTCGCGTCAGTTCGCGTGGAAATTTTTGCGCGGTGATTACGATGAACAATGATGGCTGGTAATTAAAACACCGAAATAATTAATCGGAGTTTTTGTAGGCTCAGCGATGTGGATAGACAATCGTATAAGTTCGAAAATGTTTTCGAATGCTCCAATATTTCGGGAAACATCGCGAGAATATTTGCCATAACTATGAGAAAAATTGAATTACAACGAAGTATATAGTACTGGTTGGTATTTTTTAATCTCTCTTTTTTCCCCCGCCCACTCCGGAGAAAGAACGGTATTTTTAAAAAAATAAATTTTACTTGTTCCTTTGGGCAAGGATACAAAATAGGTGGACACGATTCGCCTACTTATTAGTATTTATATTCCTTCATCGTAATATAAATAATCCAAACACGTCTGCCAAAACTTGTCACGCTTCATATTATACCCATTGCCGATTCCGATGAAAATATAATACCTTGAATATTTTACTTCCTCATCGTGCGACCAGATATTGTAATCATACATAATAAAGAAAAACGTTCGTTCAAAAGCTGTGAAATAGTGGTTTCACGTTTAAAAAAAAAAATCTATTTTATACATTTCGTTTTATATACACTCTCTCTCTCTCTCTCTCTCTCTCTCTCTCTCTCTCTCTCTCTCTCTCTCCGCTATCTTTTTCATCACAAATAAATCGAGGAAATGCATTTCCTTTTCAAGAGTGAATTACGATTTTTAAAACGTCGTATCGGAACGAAGGTAAGGTAAGGTAAAAAAAAGAAAAAAAAAAGAGGGAAGGAAGGAAGAGAAAAATTAAAATAGAAAAAATGGAGGAAAAATCGAGTAGCTCGATATCGATAAATAACCGCAGATTTAGCAACAATAACCGGCGCATAAAGAGCATGTAAATGCGCGCCGATTAAAATGGCAACTGATAAACAGAATGGAGAGCACGAAGTTCTACAGATTAACAGCGTTCGGTAACTGGGCGCAACGAGTACCTGCGGTAGTTGGAAAGTATCCTCTTATTCCCCTACCGCTCCCCCCCCCCCCATACTCGAAAACGTCGAAGGAGCTTTCGAGCAATGGAATTGATATTTCGTGCGGTGTACTAATTGAATACACGGGGAAACGAAACTACCCCTCCGGCATTCCGCTTAAGTGGCGGTTTGTCGAGGTCTCTCCGAATGGCACAACACGAGAACTCACGGTGCTTATATACTCGGGCTTACAAATAAATACCTAAAGAGCCTCCTGTCGATTTCAACACGCCATTTGTACGCGCACCAAGTATACACCATACTTCAACACAAGCGCGATACGAAGTTAAAGTACAATATACATATATACATATATATTCGCGAGCGTATAATATTGAGATTTTTACGAGGAATAAAAATGATGAAAAAGAAAGAAAATATATAGAATAGTGGCGGAGAGAAACGTGATTTTACTCGAAATAAAATAAAATAAAATCATTTTTCTTTTCTCTCCCCTCCCCCATTCCCGCCCTTTTTCGTTTCAATTGAACAATGCACGGAAAGTTTGAGGAAAATACGAAATTACACGTGCGCGATGTGAACGTAATTCGATTCCCTTCCGGAGACGGCAATTTCGGGAACGTTTCGCAGATTAAAACGAAACTATGTATAATTATACGCATCCTGGGATTCGTAATTACAGTGCTTGATGCATGTTCGTTATAAACCTGGAATATAATATTCTAATTTGAGGGTACCGTTGCGGTCTGGGGAACGCTCGAACTCCGCTAACGAGATGTTTCATGAATTGACGCTTAAATAATCGTTTTGATCGTGCCGCCCGATAAAAGTTCCCGCGAAAGAAGATAATTGGCCAACGTCAGGATTTACGGATCAACGGAATTAACGGAAAGGATTACGGATACCTGCGTTCGGTTTTCCAATTTCCTATGAATTTTACCGGATGACGCGAGAGAATCGAGCAATGCGTTCAATCGTTTCAAACAACAACGTTCACCGGATTTTCACCGGTGACTTTTAACACTTCAAAAAAGGCCGAACGATTGCCCGTTTGTTAAATAACTTGTACGCGGACGAAGCGAAACGGTTAGTTCGTCGATGAAGGATCGAATTAAAGAGGAATATTATTTTCGCTTCTGTCGAATATACGGAATATAAGAAGCGAACATACGGTCGGACTTTATTATTTACGGAAACGTAAATCGATGAAGAAAGACAATAAAGACAGAAATTTATTGTATGATAATTCTATCTGAATTTTTAAGAATTTTTAAGAATCCTTCGAGTAGATTAATCAGAGTGTATCTGTTAATATGGATACGATAAAAATAACAAAGTACATATACAAGTTTCAAGAAGATATAAAATATTTCGTATTAGCGCGTCTCAAGACAATTAAGTACCGCGTCATAAAGCTTCGCGCTAACATCACTCGAGTTAAAAATCCCTTTGACCTTAAAAGACGATCAAAGAACGCTTTAGATCCACTCCTCTGCAGAATGCTTGCACAAAGGACTCACGCTCGCAAAAAAAAAAAAAGAAAAAAAAAAGAAAAAAGGAAAAGGGGGAAAAAATTACGTCCACGTTCGATGGCGCGCGCGTATCGAAGAAGAAACGAAAAAAAAAAGGAACTTGTTGAACTTCCCCGAAAAAGCAGCGATATCTCGAACGATCGCGTTTCTATTTCCAGTTGAAAGGGTGGTTGGTTGGCTGGAGAGGTTTCGCGAATGAATGGCGCAGCTTCGACTCGCGTTCCATCGTGCACACAGAAGGGGAAAGTGCAGAGGCGTTCGAAGCGAAAATAAAAGCGGAGAATGTGTCTTTTCTCGTTCCCTCGGATTCCTCCCTTTCTCTCTTTCCCTCTTTCTTTCTTTCTTTCTTCCCCTCTTTCTTTCTTTCTTTCTTTCTTTCTTGGTGCAAGAACCAAGTGGTGGATCGATCGGCCCTCCTTTCGCCCGAATCAAAAAGGGGCAGAAACCTTGGCGGGGGAGAAGCCTTAGCGGGCACAAAGGGTTATAATAAGCCGTCCCGAGCGAAAAACGGGAACACTCTCCGGAGGCAGGCATCTGGAGCAACCGTAACCCGAGAACGAGGAGGCGTCGTCTGAAACGCCACTGAAACTGAATACCGTTCACCTCGGTGTCGAGCGACGAATTCTTTCGCCGAGGCGAGACCTACAAGCGCGGCTTCTCACGAGTGGAACGAGCAGAAGAGAGAAGAAAAGAAAACGAAGAGAAAGGGAGGAAGGGAGGAGGAACGGTCGGGAGAGACTCTTGGTTCCTCGGATAACCAGGACAGCGTTATCGTTTCCTTCTTTCGACATCGTTTCAATTAGTGGCCGGAGATTTACGACTTTGCATCCACGAACACCTTGTTGTCGCGAGTACTCTTCGAGATCTCCATTCACTCGAATCGAATTCCAGAAACCAGAGGGGAGGAGGGGTCTGACAATACGCAGCGGCGGCAATCGAGGAAAAGCTCTTCTTACATGTACATCCCTTATATATCCTCTTCCTTATATATCTTCTTTCCTCGTTCCTTCGTCACTCGTGGCAGAAAAATTAGGAGTAATTGGAAGCGCAGCGGAACGTTTGATCCGCTGGCGAATAATCGTTGATGGAACATTTCCTCCTTCCTTCTATTTTTCCTCGAATCGAATTCTCCCATTCTCCTCCTGGCCTGTTACTCGTCATTTGTTAAACGTCATAAACGGAGGAGAGCGATTGCACCGAGTTCAAGAATAACCGTTGTTGGATTTCTAAGGACGGAGGCGAGGGAAGATCGAGCTCGATATGTTGGAATACCCGTGAAACCGTAATTGAATTTCCATCGCGAAATGTAGGAAAACCGGTGATAGTAATAACTTCTGTCCGTCAGTCGTTACATTGCTCTCGTTATCGTACAAAAAAAAAAAAAGAAAAAATTAAGGTCTTCTCGATACGTTTTCCGGTTGCTCCCTTCGACCGTGTTGACGTTTTCTTCGCGATACAGGGTTCGAAACAGAGGATGCAAGAGGAATATTCATGGAACGTCGTCCGTTAACGACCGAGTGAACAGGAGCTCAATTTCCGGCGTGAAAGATAGCAGGAAACAGTGTTCGAGTCGACAAAACAGAACGGTCGGATAAGATTGTTCGATGTCAAGGGTGAAATTATTAAGAATATCCACCGTTTCATTCGTAATAATCTCGGCTGTCTCGATGATCGGTGCAGCCGAGGAAACGTATCGACTTTTCATCCGTTGAAATATTTTTACTTCGTCGTATTATATGTCTGCCGTCATCTCGAGTCAGTCCGCTTCCACCCGCTTGGATAGGAACTGGACAAATATCCGACACGTTGAGAGCGGAGAAAGTGGAGAGGAGAGGAGAGGAGAGAGGGGAAGGAAGAATCATGGAGTGAAAATAAAAATATTGCTTCAAAGTCGCGTAGAAAAGACGGGGGCGGGGATATTTCTTTTTTTTTTTCTCTTTCCTGTCGCTCAACTGCTCGTCGACCCGCGTGCATTCGCGATCTCTAAAGAAGATTCCGTACAATGACGAGAAAAAAAGAAGATGTGGAAGGGAGGAAGAGAGGAGAAAAAGAAAGAAAGAGAGAGAGAGAGAGAGTTTACGAGCATTCACGATGGGAAATCGATACGATATTTCATCCGTTTTGTCGTCAACGAAGTCTCGAAGGTGCGAACAGCCACCGAGTCGCAGAGGCTGCACCCACCGACTCTCCATCCTTTGTACACCCTCTAGCATCCTCGAAAATCCTTTAAAACGTTCATCCCTTTAAGCAGCGGCACGTCGAGGAGGCGATAAGACGACGCGCTCGATGCGACCACGCCGTCACCTTTCGATCGGTCTATTGGCCCACAGTGTAAAGTCATTCATGTGCACGGGACGCGCGGCGTGAAAGATAGGCAAAATGTACACCACCGGCCATTTACACGTCGATCCGGCTCAGGAGGAGGAGAGAAAATTTTCGATGGGCCGCAAGATGAATTGCCTTTTGCCGGTGGCACGATTAACCATCAAGGTTACGTATACGTGTCACGTTGAAAAATGTTTGCAGGCACGTTCGCTCTCTCCAATGGCGAAACTTCGATTACCTTCCTCCTTCAGCGCATCCGCGGACGACATTCATAAACCCCTGGTGATTCTCGAAAGAACCGTGTGATTTTCATGATCCCGATCATTCCCCAATTCGCGTAGATGCGAAAAACGATGAATAAAGATACGATGGGATGAACGTAAAGAAAGGAAAAGAGGAACCAATATCGCATATTTCGTAGGAAGAATGAGTCAACGGAATCGGCGGAGAAAGAAGAGTAACGAGATTACGATACTCGATCGAAGCTACATATCTACATGTTCAAAACCTCTTCTTTAGAAAGAAGAACGTTCAGAAGGAAGAGATCGACACTCATAAATAACAATACAGTCTAAAGTTTCCAAACCATAATGTTTCCCTTTCCTTAGAATAGAGAGTCATTAAATGGAAGGAGCTCCTTAAACAACCAGAGCCGGACACTTGGAACCGGTAGAACTTGGTAACAACAAGAGTCGCCCCTGGGCCAAGACAGCCAGTCAAAACTTGCGCACCCACGATTAGATAGTTCTCCCCAACCGGTTCCCCGTCCTTCCTTTCGAGGGAGTCTTCTTCCTGTTCAACCTACTCCTCGCTCAGATTATTAAACGTTTCCATAGCGTCGAATCGAGGAAGATCAACGTAAGTGGCAGCGTTCACCTCGGGGGTGGAAGAGATTTCGCCTCGCGATTTCGTGTACACAGTTCTCTCCCTCCCTGTCTGTACACGACGATTTTCAATCGAGGACAAATTGCACCTCTCCCCCTTCCCCATCCCTTGGTAAATCGCCCCTAGATTCTCTTCCCTAGCTTGGAGAGGCTTGCTTCGAGAGCAAAGCGAAAGACGGTAATATCGAAGAAGAAGGAGAAGAAGAAGAAGAAGAAGAAGAAGAAATCGGTTAAATCTTTGGGCCAACCGAGGTATCGTTCCAAATCTCGTTTTTTCAAGCCTAGGATATAAAGGAATCGATGGCATCGATCGAACTTCAAGTAATTACCGTGCAAGGTGCGAGGAGAGTTAATTCCGGGGTGGCAAGCTCTTTTCTCTATCCATTTCCACGTCGTCCGCCTCGTCATTTTCTCTATCTTCGATCCTTCTGCCTCCGCCACCCCCTTTTTCCACGTTTTTGCTCTCTCTCTCTCTCTCTCTCGCTCTCGCTCGTTCCCACCCACTTTGGCCACCCTCGGCTGCCTTTCTGGCGGACAAATTGGATTCGATAATTGCGAATCACGATGGCAGAGACGACAGTCACGTCGCTGATCGGCCAGCCAGCTGGCAACGGAAGGGGGAGGTGGAAATGTCTCCGTCTTTTGGATCCACTTCGCGATGGTCTGTCACTGTCGCGAGAAGCTTGACACCGAGGAGGGTCCAACACGAGAAGAAATCGATTTCGTGGATATTGCTTTCCCTCCCTATGTGCGCGGCCACATCCGTGGGAATCCATTCATCGGAATTGATAACCGCCCCCGCCGCTCGTCGCATTGTAATTACGCTTCCAACACCGTGCACGCCTCCTCGCCTCTCCTCGTTTTTCCCCTAACAGACAGACCTCCCCTCCTAACGCGCGGACAGGTCACTCATTATCTCGATATTGTCTCGTTCGCGGTACGGTACAAAAGAGAAAGCTTTTTTTTTCTGGTTGCTGGAATATTAGGTTCGTCGTGAAAAGTGTTTCCAAGTAAGATATCTCGATGGCGATATTTCGAGCTCATAAAAGATTTACGGATACACTTTTCTTTTCTACCGATAATGATATTAATTAGCGCAAGAAATTGTGGCTACCGATGTAAAGCAAAGTTCTTCCCTTTCCTTGACCAGTTTCCGAAGTATATCTCTCTTAGAGAGAGCTCGTGACGAGTATTGTTCGAGGAAATTATCGATGAAAACGGGTGGGAAAATAAACAGAGAAATGTACGAAAATTGCACGATTTTCGAAATTTTCTCGCGTCCATAGCAAGCGAGCACACGTGTTTCCTTGATCGATCCTCATCGGTTATTCTATTCCATTCGTGTGAAATTGGCGAGGGAAAAATGTACACGCGACGAATCCATCCCAAAACAAAGGGATCACCGAAATTTCCAACGTTTCACAATGGCGGTGGAAGCGGGGTAGCGGGGCCCCGACTACATTATACGGCCATCTATGGATATAGGTGGTAAACCGCGGATGTCCGGCGTGGATCAGCCGTGGTTAAAACTGTCCGCGTAAAAGGATCCATTTAAATCCACGAAGCACGAGCGCGGGAAAATTTCTGCCACCGATGCGCACCGACAGCAGGAACTATTCATCCCCTCGTTAACGAACAATCAAAACCGCAGCCCGGTTGAATTTTTTCAATTAATGTCACGAGGTTTAAATGAATAAACGTCAGATTGTTAATTACCCCCGCTACCTCTCTACCCTTCTGCGAAATGAACTGGAAACGTCTGCGATTCAACCTCCGTTAACCTCCGGAGGCAGAGAATTTTGTGGTCGAAACGGGTGAAAGAAAAAGAAGAAAAAAAAGACAAAACGAACGAATGGACCGAATTAAAAGATTGGGGGGAGAAAGAGAAGAGAGGGGTGGAAAAAAAAATCAATGAAAAATAACGGTGGGTACGCTATTTGCTTGTTCCCCGTGTTGTCTCCATCGGCAATTGCCGCTCGCGCAACGCTAATTTCACTCACTGCTGCTCGTGAAATTACCGTCGACTCGTTACGCGCACGAGATCGCCGTTGTCTTTATCGCGGCGGTCGTTTCGTGTCGGCTCGATGAAAAATAATTTCGCGACGTTGCAACCTTCTACGTGTTCCCGTTTAACACGCACCCGATTTCGCCCGTTTCTTTATACGAAAACAACTCTTTTCCCCTTCCAACCATTTCACTATTCCATCCAACGGCTGTAAATAATGCAAACGCCGTGACGGAGGGCGCACACACCCGCGCAGATAACGAATAACGGGGGCAACAAGTAAATCGACCCATCGACGAGAATGAACGAGCTTAATTGCCGGTTCACGATCCCAAGTTCCTCGGCACCCCTCTCACCTGGCTCTTCCATTCCCTCGATCAATTTCGAAAATAGAGCACAGCAGAAATTATGAAAGAGGCCGAGTGAGTCGAGCAGCGGCATCGTTCGTCAATGTCGTTGCACGCCCTAGCTTTATCACTCTCCGCTTATCCCGCGCCAGACGCGCGTTGCTCCTCCTCGCCCATTGTACCACGAATAATAAGAGATAACGTATTCTCCAGGCTGCATTCCATCCAAATTGTCCACCGAGCTTATCTAGCGATATTTACAACCCTCTGCCCTATCCTGATTAAGATACTGACTCGGTCGGCGATACCACGCGTAAAATTTCTTCTTTTGGGAACGTTTCGACGTTTCCTCGACAAATGATTCCCACCCTGTCGAATGTTGTAGCCAGGGTTACAAAAAAGAGGGGCGAGGAGTGGTTGTTTAACAGCCCCGACGAGAATAAAAAGCGACGACGGGTCGACCGAGGGGGAGGGGGAGGCCATTATCGTGCGTAGAAACGCACATCAGTACGGGGTAGGAGGATTTTCCACGAGAGAGGCGGTGGATGGAACCGTTTTGGGATCGGTCGACCATATATTTGTGCGTATCGTAGCCAGTAGCAGTCGGGGAATTACGAGAAAGATTGATCGAACCTATTTGCCGAAACCAAATTACACTTCTGTTCATCCGCTCTCTCTATCTTAAGGGCCATTCCATTCTGGGTTCTGGGTTCCACCCTCCTACGATCGTTCCTATAAATAATTAGCCGCCTTATAATGGATCGGTCGACATATAGATTATTATTTATTTCGGTGGAGAATAAAAGGGGATAAACGCGTGACGCATGGCGTCGCGATAGAAAACACCGATCTCTCGATTCTCTCGACCCGAAAAGCGAGAAGAAGAAGAAGAAGAAGAAGAAGAAGGAGAAGAAGAAAGGAGAAAGGAGAAACGGAAAATTGTTTTCTATGATATACGGAGAGGATCGAGAGATGGGTGATTCACCGGGCGTAATGAGATTTTCTCATCGTTGCAGAGGAAGGATTTCACGCGAAAGCTCTGCGAAAAGGTGAATGAAACACTTACGCTGAACGGTACGAGGGAATTCTTCACACACGGGACCATCCATTGTTGGAAGAGCGACATGACCACTTGGCAGCCGACCACCACCTCCAGGATCCGTTTAATCAGAAATCTGCGCAGATAAATGAACGAGTTAGTAACCAGGTCGTCGTAGCAATTACATCGAGGAAGATGAAACAAAAATGTTTAAATATACGCGTATATATATATATACATATATCTTTCGGTGGAGTTTATACCATCCTGAGTTTCCGAGTCCTGTAAAAGCACGACCCATTTTCCACCCGGTACGTTAGTCAAACAAAGTCAGCTACGTCTTTTTAGTCTACGTCACGACTTTCCCGCAAATAATACATTAGCCCACGTTGGTTACATTTCTCTTATCACGCACACTCCGCCCGTGAAAATTCGCCACGGTGAAACCGGCGAAATCGAAAAATATGAGCGGAGAAGGGGGAATCGCGAGACACGACGTCTCTTCTTTTCCTTTTCCACCTATCGCAATCCGTCCCGGGGATTTTCAGTTTGGGCCAACAACTGGCGGTGGCAAGGAATGTCGGCCGGCCCACTCCATTTTCTCCATGCACTGCCACTCTCCACACGACCTAGCACACTACTATGCATCCCCGAAACGCGTCCGCGCGGGGGACGGAAGGTGGAAAGTGTTCCACGAAAATCTCCGGGATCCCGAATACAATCGGAAGTACGAGGGCGGAAGCACGGAAAGGAATACATCACCTTTCCCTACCCCGCGTCCGAACCTTACTCCCCCTTCCCTATTTTCCCAACAATGGCCCACTTAAATCTAATTTCGCCAACATTTCCGCTCGCCAACTTTGCCTTCTTCCCTTTCGTTCCTTTCCTCGGGGAAAGGAAACGCGCGCTACCGAAATCGAGGACGAGAGGAAACTTTTTCGGGAACCGTAGCCTTCCGAGAATTGTAGCCACGATCCAGACGTGCACCCAACGTACGTGGAAATATGTACACGATAGAGAAGGAATTAGAGAAGTGAGTTTTACATATCGAGAGTAAAAAAAAAGAAAAAAAAAAAATGTAGTAGTTAAAAAATTCAATTATTGCCAAATTATGCGAGAATGTTTCGCGTGTAAAATAAAATACAGAAATCAATTGTTGTTTCAAGTAAATGACGATAAAGTGACAATTTATTTCTTATTCAAAAAAAAAAAAAAAAAAAAGAATTTTTCATTCGTGTCTCTGATATCAGAAAATTTATACTTCCTAGATAAAAAAAATTCTAAATTAAAATTTAAAAAGAGAAGAGGTACAAATTATCGAAATATTTCGCGATTAAATATAGACGCGAAGCATTTTAAACTCTTTCAATTATTTCTAGAAAAAAAATTCCTTCGAGAATTTTTCCCTCTTACTCTACGAGAAGCGATAAAATGCTTCGGAATATTCGATAAAAAAATATTCGATCACCTTTATCAAAAATACGCTTGAATCATCCTCGGGGGTTTGCCGTTTACCTTTTCCGAATCCTTTGTGTTCTAGGGAAATTCAGTTCGTAGCAGAGGGTAGGCGCCAGGATGAAGTAGTAAAGATCACGGAAAGTCAAGTTGTCCGGATATTGCACCAAGACCGTGCCACCGACGTCTACCTCGTGTTTCGAGTCGTCGACCTCCTCGCCGCTTTGCTTCGCGGTGGAAGCTGCAACAGAGAATCGTATTCGCGTTAAATGCTGGAGGGGGGAGGGGAGAAAAAACAGATTACCGCGATGAATCACACGCCACGGTTTGCGAGCAACAGGAATTTCGCGAACCCTTGCCTCTGCCTTTGCGACCGGGCCGAAACAACAAGGAGAAGAAGAAGAAGAAGAAGAAGAAGAAGAAGAAAATTAGGGGTTAGACGCGAAAATCGGGGAAAAAGAGGAGGAAAGAAAAAGAAAGAGAGAGAGAGAGAGAGAGGAAAGTGAAAACACCGGGAGTTTGATGAAAAGGTATACCCGAGGAAGTTAGTTGCCGTGCTCGAGAATCATTCTCGAGCTTCATCCCCGAGGACCGAGGAGGGAGAGTCGTGTAGTTTAATCTTTCCAAGAAAAATCGGCGAGCGTTTAAACTTGGATCCCTCGTGCGACGTGAGTTCGGATTGCTATTCGCGGATTATCGTTATTAAATCATTTCGAAACGAAACGGTGAAGGAGAAACCGTTTCGAGGGGGAGGGAGGGATATACTTGGCCAATCTTGGCCAAGAAAAGTTTGCCCAGACTTGGAAACGAGATCGATTCTCATCTCCTCGTCCACGCCTAAGCCCGCAGCGGAGGAACGGCTAACCGATAGAAAAATAGAATTCCCTCATTCGTCCGAATCCAATCTGGAATTCAAATAAGCTCGGTAATACAGAGAGGACTTACCTATTCTGGGATCGCGTCACGGCTCCACGTGTCCAAAACCGTGTTCTCGGAGAGGCGTGAATCGACGTGGCTCTCGCCATGAGAGTACGCGAGAGTCGTCACGACGGACGGACGTTCGAGCGACGTTCAAACGAGAGTTTCACGAGCCGCGGGACCCCCTCCGGTAATAAGTGGCGAGGAAGAATTCGTCCAAATTAAATTCCTGCAACCCTCTTTTTCTCGCCCGTTCTCCCTCCAACATCCGTGCTCCACCCGTCTTCTTCTCTCCTCATCCACCGGTATCCTCCTCGGTGGCTGCCTCGTTTATTCGCCGTAATGGTTTTTCCTTCCTTCCTTCCTTCCTTTTTTTCTTCACCCTTTTCCCTGTGGTTCGAGTACTCAATATCCGAGTAATTCTCTGTTTCTCGTCCGTTTCGTCGTTCGAAAGGGGGTTAATACGATGCCGCGCGACGATCAAGCGATGCGCCCCCCCTCGCGATAAACCCCCCTCTCCCGTGAGAATATCGCGAGGATTCCAATGCCGCCGCAGAGAAGCGATTGGAATTTTTAATACGCGATCCTTGCTCGCGCTCCCTTCAATTCTCGCGCTCGAAATTTGCCGATTGATTTGGAACAGGGTGTTTTAAACTCTGGATGGAGGATGGTACGGCGGTAAACGGGCCTCGATAAATCGTGAAATTATTCGAGCCGAATCGCCGTAACCGGGACCGATCGGTTCTTTGTCAAAGTGTCGGAGTAGGGAGGGGAGAGGGAAAGGGGAGAGAGAGGGATGGTTGGATTGCTTTGCTAACCAATATCGAAGGTAATAACGAGAAGGAGTCGAAAAGTGTCGTTAAAGTTTCCGGGAAACTTTTCGAAATTTATTACGAACGATAACCGGATTTCTATTCGATACTTGGTCCCCTCTAATTACCATACGAATCAGCGGGCAATAATTCGCCCAACCAACGTCGAAAAGTAACGATTCGACTATGGGCGGAGAGGGAAGGAAAGGAAGGGAAGGGGGGGAATTTTCGAAAGAAAATGTTTCTGCAAACGACGGCCACGGATTGGGAAGCGTCGCAACGGCTAATGAATCACGAGCGTTTCGGAGGAGGATCCGGCTGAAAACACCTTCAGTTTATCGGGCAAATAAATTTCTGGAATTAGATCTCCATGTCGTCGGGAAATTGTGGCCAACTGGTATCGAGACAGCCGGGGTCTGTTAGGCTCGATTCGCGCTGTTCCAGAAAATTTACGAGTCCGCCGGATTGCCTTGTCGAAGATTGCAGCCAATCCCATCGGTCGGAAAGCTTCGTCTCTTGTACCGCTCAAGCTTAATTTGTGAGATCTCTCGTTCGCTTCGCGATCCTTCTCTACTTCCTTTTTCCTTCTCTTCCCTCCTCGCCCTAAATATTCTACCACGATTTTTCTCGCGCCAACAGTTAAAATATATATATATATATTTCTGGAATAAAATTCGTCGAGATAATAAAAATGTTATCGTAATATCAAAATTCATATATAAATTTACATTGAGGCGTGAGTTGAAAATAATACGAAAGTAATACGAGAATTACGTTACGGCAAGTATATTTTGCAGGAGAAAAAGTAGAAATCGCTTTCGAAAAATCTTCTTGATACCATAAAATTCAGCTCGAAACTGTGCTGCGAAGGTCGGGACAGAAGGGTGCGAAGCTTGTCGAGTTAGGTGGCTGTTGCTCGTGAGTGCTGCGAAGCTCGTGATACCAGCACGTAAGAAGATTTCAGACGCGTAGGTGCTTCCGCGAGAACGCGGTATGAAAGGTTAGACGTCAACAGAGTAATAAATTAGAGGAAATTCGTCCGACGCTGGCATTAAATGACTATCTCTTCTCCCGACAAGTGATATATGACAGCGTTTAATGTTGCGCGAGTAGTTGAAACTGTAAAGGGATGAAAATTTTGAGAAACTGGAAAACAATATTGAGAAAATGATAAACGAAAATTGTTCTACAGGTTCTACAATGGTAGAACAGCGCAGTAGTTGGTCGTTTGTCGGGTGAGTAGAAGAGAATAAGATTAAATGAATGGTATAGATCGATCGTTTGTCAAGGGAGGAGGAAAAAAAAAATAATAATAATAAATCAGTCAGAATAGAATAAATAATTTGGGAAAATATAAAGGATATTATGATTATATGCGGGAAAGAGATTTTAAGCAATTATTGAATATCATTATAGAATTACGATACGTTAAAGTAGCTTATATCAAAAAGGTATCCGTATAATCGTATCGGATTTGGAATTTCATATTACTATCATTAATACTAATGGCCAAAATTTTAGCATATTTTAATGAGCGAATAATCGGAATTGTAGAATATTGTAATACCGGTATAATAGAACAAAATGTCGCATATACAGGGATAATTAATTTCGAATTTTCATGTTTCCCGTTACGCAAAAACAAAGGATTATTATCAATCGGCCAATTTTTGACCCCGTTAGAAACATGATTTCGTGATAAGCTACACAAATTTTGTACCATGAAATGAAATCGTTAACGTGGATAAATAACAAAATATGTAATACAATAAAATTTCTTCACGTGATCAAAATTTTAAAATCAATTGTTGAAAAAAGATCAGAAGATATCTCGAAGAGAAAGAGAATATTAATCTAGTAAATTGTCAATTTGTTCAACAAACATCGCGCTATACCTTCAGATTACGAATCATGCCTCTAACTTATCTCGACAAGCATCGTCTACCAAAAAACCGACCAAAAAAAAGGAATTTTCTTAAAAATAAAAATTCAGGATGTTCACCGGGAACTTGTCGAGAGAAATAACGGCATGACACGTGAAAGCACGACCACCAAGTATCTAACCAACTGGACTGGACCAATTTCTGCCTTACTTTTATCCCACCTATTCCCCTCCCTCCATTTTCATTCGTATCCACGAAAATACTCGAAAAGAACTTTCTCCCATTACTTCAACGTCTAACAGCGACATTAGAGTAGATTGTTTATTGAAAGCAAGCCTTGAGAACCAGATCGAATTCGTCGCCGAATTCAATCGATCGATGGCCACAAGCGGACGCAAAAGCTTTTTCGCGAAAAATAATAAAAATAAGTAATAATACTAATAAAAATAAATCGGAAAAATAAACGTCGTCATTATGCGACGCAATAATATAACGTTCCTCGACGTTCAACCAATAGAGTGGAGGTGGTCGGAGGACGAAAATTACACGGCACGAGGTACAGAGAAAGGATTATATACGCGTTCGTGGCTTCCACAACGTGTGCGCTACGCGGTGCATTCGTCGATCGTATCCCCTTCGAATCGATCAGGAGGATCGATCCTCCTCCAAGCTCTTTCTCTCTCTCTCTCTCTCTCTCTCTCTCTCTCTCTCTCTCTCTCTCTCTCTGTGCTCACCGCAACTGAAGCGTTCCATCGAATTTCGATAATCATATTAGCCTACGGCACTTTTTATACCTCGGTTGGTGTTATTATGTGTGATGGAAGAGCGGCGGCGATCGAGCGGGGAATTAACAATCATCTAATTACTCCCGGTCAGCTGATACTCGCTCGACGAATAAATATGGGGGAGGGGAAGATAGGGATTTATCGCGTCAACGTCTGGCGAGAAGAAAGGAGACGAGGAGGGGGTCAAAGTATGGTCAAACGTTTTAAATGGACTGGACGGTTATTCGGGTACCGAGATACTTAACGTTCGACCATTCCTCAACATCTATTCCACGTGTTTCCCGAGGAAGCTACGCGATGCACCACCATTCACACGCATCCACCATTATGTCTTCCTTTCGCATTATCTTGGCATTGATTAACGAACCTCGATCGTGAACAAGAACTCGGGGAACGGAGGAGAGGGAGTAAGCCGTGAAATGGACTCGAAATGGATCGAATTTGCAAAATCGCCGGCTCTGTCGATACGCGCCTTCGTGATCCGGCACCTCTTCCATTTTTCCATACTTTTCGAATACTTTGGAAGAAACGTTCGTGAGATTTCTTTTTTTTTTTTTTGCAAATCTTTTCATTTTCGTGGCTCGTAGAATCGAGGAAGAATAATAATAATAATAAGGAAGGAGGATCGGGAGAAGAACGATAAGAAACGATAACGCGAGCATGAAACAATCGCATTTGATTAAAGGAGGGCACAAGGGTTCGTGGAACAGAAAAGGAGTGGTTCTCTCGGATTGATTTTTCTCTAAGTGGCTCGTACAACCCTCCAGGCCTGTTTAAAGTGGCTCTAAGAAAGCGGAAGAGTTGTATAACAGATTTCCAGTGCACGAAAGAGGGCCATAACGCGTCAAAATGATACACGAGGTCCTTGTAGCGCTATATTTCTCTCGGTCGTGAGAGGGCGAAGGCGGAAGGAAAGGCAAAGGCAAACGCAGGGGAAAGGGTTAATATTCCATGCGGTGAGTTTATTGGGGGAAGAGGGAGGGAGGAGGGGGGGAAAGGTCAGTCGTGTGTGTTGTATAATTTGACTTTGCAGCGGGGCCTGAATAATCGATACCCTACCACGTAACCGTGGCCCGATACCCGGAAACAGAGGCGAGACTGATCGAGAGTTTAAATTGGGTGGAAGTATTTCGCCTCTTCTCGCTCCGTGTGTGTGTATGTGCGTTCCGCGCGCGTCGTCACGGCCAGCCACGACACGATCGTGTATGCACCTTCAGAAGCGAACAAATAGCCCCAACACCACCACCAACCATTGAATTACCCGGCTCAAAAGACGCGTTATATACGAGCTTAATGTATGCGCGTCAGAGTCTATCACGCGTCACGAATATTTCCGAGTTTATCCATCTCCCATCCCGCCCGATAAATTCATCCCCAACTTCAAGCTTTCTCGTCCAATCGTGAAGAGAGGACGAAACGAAATCGGTATACGTGTATTTTCCAGAGATACCTATCCCCCCCTCCCCTCCTTCCCGTCGTGATATTGCGACGAACGAATCGGCGTATATGGAAAGAGAGAAAGGAAAAAAAAAAATGATGGAGGAAAAAGTAAGAAAGAAAAAAGAAGGAAGAGAACAATTTTCCGCGTTTTCTTCCACCCTTTTGCCCGCCCCGTTCCTTTAATTAATTTTGTTTACAATAGAAACGAAGGTCGGGGTTGGTCGCGAAACCCGTGTACATATATATATATATATATATATACACACACACACCCGTTGCACGTTGGGATTTAACCAGTCGTCCAAAAACTTGTAACAAGCATTTTCCCTGGGAGCCCCCGCGTCACAGAGGCGGTCGACCAAAAATCCAGGCGCGCGCGGGGTGGTTGTACACGTACGTTGGCCGGCGTTTTTCGGCCGGCCCACCGGCATCCGCGTTGAAATTAGAGGGTGTTACGCGAAAGCACGAAACGATGTAAAGGGAATGCGTAATAGTTGTTATCGAAAATGCCGGCGCGCGCGTACCACGCATTCCTGGATAACGTTTGTCGTTTGTCGTAGCCACGGCGATAAATTGACATCGTTGATGGAAATAAACGTCGCGTCGCCCCGTTATTATGCGACCACGAGACGCGTATGTGTAAAAGTTGGCCGCGTGGAAAATGGGGGAGGGGAGAAAGAGAGAGAGAGAGAGAGAGAGAGAGAGAGAGAGAGAGAGAGGAGAGGCGATGGGAAATACGGCGTCAGGGCGGGATTACGTGGAAATTCTCTACTTACATTGTAGATTATTGTAGGACAGAGATTGTCGTCGCATCCTCCCCTGGCTCGTTGCCTTTCTTCGATTGTTCACCCGACACCACATATTTACTTGCACGTACGACCACAGCTTGAGAAAGAGGACGGCGTACAGCATGCACACGTACATAGCACCGACTGAAACAACGGAATTAATTATATGTATATCTGTATAACATTTCAAATTATCGCGACAGCTTATCTTCGATCGTAATATCTCTCTGCTTTGTATTTCCCGCGTAACGTATGTGAATTTCCAATTTCTGTGGATCGCAGATATCTGCAACCTGCGAATGGCAAAGTTATTTTTAGACGCGATATTTATTTATTTTCAACGTACGTTTCGATATATATATATATAATTCGTCACCCGGAAATGGGATATCATATTCATTCCGCTTTATTAAAGATGTGTGTTTTCGGTAAATTTCGAAAAATTTTTTTCAAATTAACGCGAAACTGGATCATCGTGAATTGGGAAAATCAAGAAAATCGAGTTAATCTCCGTTGTTGAAACCATTTTATCCATTGATCGTGAAATCGTAAACATGTCGATCACGGGACCTATTAATGTCATTTATAAAATTCTAATCAAATTTTGAAGATCTTTCTTAAAAACATAGTCGTAAGCTTAAAAAGAGTCGATCGTGAACCGATTTTTATCGAGCTCAAGAAACAATATTTATATCCGCGCTTTAAGCGTAACACCGATAAGAAAACAATATCTTCGAGCATATCGATTTTTAATCAAGAAGAGCGAACATAGCCAGACACTGGAAGGGAAATTTACATTCTGGGAATTTCATTAAACAAATTCTGAAAAGTCCGCATCGTTCGTTATCTCTCCCCGCGTTCCTTCCTTCCTTTCCTCTTCTTATAATAAAAAAAAAGAACGAGATGGAAGAACAAAGAGGGATATATGTGTAGAGAGGGAGGAGAGAGTGAGACGATAGAGGAGAAAGGAGAAGAAAAAAACGGTCATGTTGGCAGATTGGGATGATACGACGTGCGACTACATTTTAATCATCGCAATTTTATACACTTCCGGGAACGTGACAGCGGATACATCTGCGCGAATAAAGCATACGCTGTTACACCGGATACGTACGTGTCCGAATGTGGCAATTAAAGGGTTTATAAAACACGGTATTACGCATTCACGGCCGTCAGTTTCATCCCTGCTGAATTTATCCTTGTTCTATCCCTTCCTCTCTCTCCCTCCCCCCTTCTTCCCTCCCCTTTTTTCGCACTCTTTCATACTCGATGCATTTCAACGCGGTCTCGGAGCGTCGAACGCATTCGTAATGATTAAAAGGGTTGGGAGAAAATGACTTCTCGCAATTTCTTTTTTTCTCTTTCTCTCTCTCTCTCTCTCTCTCTTCTCTCGTTTGACCAGAGGAAAGATCGAGAGCACGTCTCCTTTCCCCAAAGGAGGCCCGACTTTCCTCGTGACTTCATCCCGACCTAGCCCGCGTTTAATTATGGCGAACGGTATTTGCATCGGGATCTTAAGAATGTCAGTTATTATTATGCGGTGCCAGTAACGGGTGCTAGTACAGCTAATGGCACGGAATTATAGACGATGACGAAGCCAGGGGCACGGCATAATCCTCATATTTTCCGATATTTCCATCGATCCAGCCTGCCTTCTTCGACCCGGATTGTTCGTATCTTAATTAAATCGCGTTTGCTGCCTGGTTATTCAGCCGTGCCGAGATTCCCTGCATTAATGGTACATACTCTCTCGGCGAGTAAATTGGTTGTTTCTTTATTCTTTTTTATTTTTTTATTTTTTTTTTTTTTATTTTTTTTTTTTTTTTTTACGTTTCTATTTCCCTTAGCTCTGTCTAATTTGTCGTTGGACGCAGATTGGACGAAACAGTTTATACGCTTATCGCGAAACTTTTAACCCTTGACTGGATTGGATTCGTCACCAAGAATAAATATTAACCCTTTTTCGCTCGACCGAACCAACAACTCGAGACGATTTTCCGTGTGTTTTTTTCAGGTGAATTTCTTCCAGCTAATTTAAAACGATTTCACGCACAAGTTAACGAAATATAAAACTTTTGTATTTTAATATTTTATGTGTGTCTTTACGGATATAAAGAAAGAAATGTTTTTGAACGTGTTGTTTTGTGCGATATTTTATAAAGCAATCGCCAAGATGCATCCTTGGCTCGTCAGAGCAAGTATCACAGTGAAATATCGTACGATGTCTTTTTTATTTCGTTGAGCAAACCTTATAATCCTCTTAACTCCTGTTAAAAATATAAAGTGGGCTCATATTCACTTTCGTCTATTATTCTTATTATTCGTCCTTTTATCTCTTATACTTCATCTTCATCACTGCTTTCCTTCTCTCTATCGTCAATTTCTTTACGAATAGAACTAATTTCATCGTTCAATAACGGAAAATCAAACTCATCTTCAATCGAACTTCGATCATTCCACGCTTATAAAACTCAAAAACTTTTGAAATTAATAATTCGAGATAAGAATAATCTAACCTATTCGACAATATATTATTCTACACTTTGTAATATTATATGTAAAAAGCTTAGGAATCTGTTCACGATACGTTTTTAAAAAAACAACCAATCATAAATAAATATTGTCGCCGTTCGAATCCTCGAATGGTGCTCGAGAGTCATCATTCGAGCGCAAAGGGTTAATGGAATATATTCTTATTCTCCAAAAATAAATTAAGTTTCGTTTATTTTTCTCGTTTTCGTTAATTTATAGATTTGGACGTTGATTGGAGTTTCTGCGTTTATCCGCGAAATTTTCAATCCTCTCTCTCTCTCTCTTTCTCTCTCCCCCCTCTTTCTGGACAGAGCTGGCCAGTATCCATCGCAAAGGGCAACTGTTTTAATAAATATTTATTCGAATTAAGGTTTTATTTACATGTAAATAACAGAGGGGAAACGAGGTGCGTTCACCCGGATGAAATAAGACCGCGAGCAAAACGTCGGCCACGAATAAATGTTTAATTGGTGGATTCATAAACTTTTGCTCGCGGCTAGACGAACCTTGTTTCTTTAATTCTTCGGGAACACATAGCGGACGAGAGGTTGTTTCGTTCGATAAACGGCGCTGTGAACGTAATAGGATCAACTTCATTCCTACCACCTCAATTACTCGAGAAATTAAACGAGCAACTCGTTGAACGGAATATCGAGTTCTCGCATCGCAGATGAGAGGTAAGTAGCTGGAATAAAATAACCGTGAAACATGCCCACTTTGAGATATAACGATACGGCAATTCGTTTCTTTTTCCTTTTTTCTTCTTTTTTTTTCTTTTCTTTTTTTCCCCCCCTCGTATCATATCGCTGGACTTGTTATTTAAATGTAGTTATATACCTCCCTTTTTCAGAAGATTTTTAATTGCGGATATACGCGTTTCACCAATTTCAATTTTCAACCTTTTTAACCTCGAAAAGTTCAAACATTCCGTGCGACGAAGAAATATCAAGGAAGAAATCTAAGGTTTCTAAATTCGTCGGGCAACTAAATTCGGGATCGAAATAAAAGAAAGAAAGAAAGAAAGAAACAAAAACAGATCTCAACAACATCCGCTTTTTCGTCCTTTCAAACAATCTTTTAAATCAAACAAAGGTAAAGTAAAGGGAATATCTAAAGACAGCTCGTTCGTAACATTTACAATTTCCACGAACTCTTTCTCCTCGGCAATTTTCTGAGCTCAACTTTCTGATCAGCTTCCACCGCGTCCACCCATTCAACGTAAATTCACTTCCAACCCCTGCAGTGATAAACACGAGTTATCCCCGCGACGACGGTTCAACGATCCACCATTTAAATTATTCGAAAGAATGATAATTAATGTATCGAATTCGTTGTCTCGTTTCGCGCAACCTACACCGCGGATAAAGCTCGCGATAATGAGGAAACGAGAAAGCTTGTAACAAAGTATAATCGGCCGATATTATCGCCCCATTAATGGCCGATCTACGCGTACGATTCCACAAACGAAACCACGGCTTGTTTCCACGAAATACGCGTGAATTTGTCGACGGGCTTTCAGGCTCGTTCAAACAGTTTGCTTTCCAGAACGATCGTAGGAAAATATTCTGTCCCCGACATTCTCTTTTTTGCTCGCCCCTAGCGCGAGAAATATTTTCTTCGACGCGGTGAATCGTCGCCTGGAGCACCCGGCCAAGGTGCTAATTAGAGAGAGATTCTCGGATACCGGCGCGGAAACCACGCGTTTAAGCGGCGCCACCCACCCGTCACTCACCCCATACCCTACGATTTCTTTTGACGAGGAAAACGACTCTCCCTTGTTAATGACGTTGAACGAGTTCCGCCTTCCAAGCATTAAGGGAGCCAACCAGGTGCTCCTTCGTCCCTCTTCGTTACTCTCGAGCGTAATCTCTCTCTCCGTCCCCTCCCCTCCCTCGATAACCGGTCTAAAATCTACCAAACTTTTCAACAGATTCCCTTGTTTATCCCGGTTCGAGATTCTACCGCCCCTCTTCCCCTTTTTTGACTCCATTAAAAACCCATCAGAAGGATATAAATATTAATTTCCCCTTGGCTCGGGAAATTACCATTGTCACGGCCCTCACGGATCAATCTTCCTTCCACGATTCACCGTTTTTCCCACGCGAGCGGGATTTATCACGCTATCGCCCCGTCAAACGGGCAGAATTTAAAATTACACCCTCCCCCCCGGTTTCGTACGTAATTTCGTAGGATCGATCGATCCTACGGAGGGAGAGGGGAATTGTAAGCGGAAGGGAAGGGGAAAAGGAGAAAGGATGGAAATTTCCGAAGGAGGAGAAGAACTGGAACTGGAAAAGGACGAGGGCGTTGAATGATTCGCGTGGCGGGATATCTGGATACTGGGGGAAGTAGGAAGTACATCCGCGTTCCCTGTTTGTCGCTTATACACGCTTCGAGATTATCGCTCGCGCGAGTAACCCGCGGGGCATATAACGCACATGTATGTGCACGGGTGTGCATGGGTGTGCACGAGGCAAGATAATTGCCAAATGCCGTGACAACGCGTACACAGGCTTGGGTATAGCTTGACACCGTGCACGGTGAAACGAATCTATCTTGCCGTGGGGTTCGCGAACGCCTCCACCCCGTTTATGCGTGTGCACGCCTCTTAT